AGCCGATCTCCTCACCCCGCGCGCTGTTTCCCCCTGATAGAGGGGCGAGACCTGGCCGTTCCTTACCAGGCTACACCTGGCTGGCGAGACCCTGCTGCCTTGCTTTTGCCAGGGGACGTGTGTCTGTCCAGCAGTGCAGAACGGTCCCTGGTTCTCCAGCACCAGGTTTGCCAGATGTTTCTTTCTCCTCAATCCAAATCCCGTCGGTGTGCCGGCAAGGAGGGGTTTTCCCCACCCTGCTGTGGCTGCAGGTGATGCCAAACAGCAGGAGTCCCTTCTGTCTGCAAAGGAAAGTTGCTGGGCGGGCTTGCTCGTGGGTTGAGTTAACATGGGTTTACTGCTGAGCTCCCCAAATGCCGCTTCCAGAAGAGAGGAATTGACACTGATTTTGAGTGACAGAAGTTGGGCTGAGTTTAGCTCTGACAACCACAGGAGATGTCTGCTGCTGGAAAGAGGAACGGCAGCTGGGAGTCACTTGGGGACGAGTCTTTCAGTTACAGAGTGGGTGTCACGGGGGAAACCAAAAGATGCTCGTGGGAACTGCAGGGTAAAGGCTCTCCCATCCCTGGGGCGCGGGGAGAGCGGTCTCTCTGAGCACACAAGACATGGAGTTTGGTTTAAATAATCATTAACTTGTCGTGGAGCACATGTTTTCACACGGTATGAGCCATGCTGAGTGAAGCCAGAGTGGTTGGGTCCTTCTCAGCAGCTGTCTCCGCCGGCTTGGTTTTGGTGCTTTTCCTTGTAACGCACCGTGTTCTCCTTCGTTCCCTAGGACAGTTGAGTGAGAAGCAGGTTCTGTCGGCAACGTCGGATGAGCGGGTAAAAGACGAGTTCAGTGACCTTTCTGAGGGGTGAGAGAAGAGTGGGTTTAAAATAGCCTAAATGTCTTCTTTGCGAGTATGAAATGACCCGCCTCGGAGAGCTCTTTCTCCACCAGTTGACCTGGCCCTCGAGGCCCCTTGGAACCAGCGTCAGGGGCGCAGAGCGGTGGCTCTGCGGCGGCTGCGATGAAGCTTACGCCACTGACGCTGAACGCCCCTCCTCACCGCCTTGGCTGCGGGGAGGGGGTTTGCACAGCGGCATGTGTGCGTTTGCACACACGTGTGCTCTCTGTTGGCTGCTTCCAGCACCCTCGGTCCTGTTTCGTTCCCCCTCTGCTCTGGGGAAGGAGCCATGCAGGGGGCGGTGGGGGCTTGTTCAGTCCTAGGTGCTGCTGCTCCAGCCCCGCAGCATCGGAGCAATTCCCCTTCCCGGCTGCTCCAGGCCAGGGCTCCGGAAGAGCAGTTGGTACGGGAACGCAGGCAAGGGGTGGCACTCGGAGAAGTCACCCCGTTTGCTCACGGGGAGAGCGATTAAATGGGAAGTGGGAGTGGGAGGGACACTGGCAGCTTCGCAGTCTTTACGATCAAAGATTTGGCTAAATCCTTCAAACACAGCTTTTTTAAGTGAGGCTTGGAAATAACTGATAATTGAGTCCAGTCTTTCTGAGTCTAAAGTACCAAATGGCCGAGCGCAGATTTATTTCATTGTGTCAGCTAAAGCTGTTAGCTGTCACATTAAAAGTGCCACAACAATTTATTGCCCGTTTCCTGGCTTCAGAATTAATTGCTTTTTGTATGGCTTAGAACTTAAAAGGAGGAAAAAGAAAAACCCAAACCTATGCGGCTGCGACTTGTGAGGAAATACAGAATGACCTGCAGCTTAATTAACCTGCGCCAGACAACTATATTATGTTCTTGCTCTGCAAAATTAGTTTTCCCAGTATAGAAAGCTGTGGCAACATCCCTCTACAATGACTAGATCTTTTCAGTAACAGCTGTTTTTTGTTCTCCTGACAGTGGCTCAATTATTCTTACAGAGATCTAGTCCTAAAAGGACCTGATTTTGCTATTTGCTGTGTTCACCAGCGCTGTATTTGCTTGGGGAGATCACGGGGGAGGAGAACACGTGGAGCCTCGGCCACTGTGCCATGCCATGGGGGAGATGGATGCACTGGGAATGAAGAACACTTATTGCTGCTGCTGCAGACACTGGTGCTGAAGCACTAGCCCCGTGCTGTGTGGGTAAAGGGGCATCTTCTCTCTCTCAGGGACTTCTTGAGCGAGGATGAAAATGAGAAGAGAAACGTGCAATCTTCAGATGACTCCTTCGAGCCTTACCCTGAAAAGAAGTAAGGGTTTGCTGCGTAGTTAGCAGAGCTCCCCGTGGACGAGTGGGAGGGCTGGTGTCCACCTCCGCTGCGCTCGTGCCACAGTGGACGCAGCTGGGCCAACACGATTGCTTTCCTTTATGGCCTCGGTTCCCTCCACGTCCCAGCCTGGAAGTCACAGCTCTGCCCCAGCACCGAGCTCCCCGTCGGGTTAAAGCTGGGCCACATCCCTCGTCCCCAGGCCCAGCACTAATTACCGCAGCTCGGCTCACGTGTACTTGACGGTGCGCGTGCTCCTGCTTTGGCAGGTCAAGCATCAGGCTAGGCTGTCAGACATGGAGACGGTTAGGTGGGAGGACTAAAACCAAGATCAAGTGTTAAACCGCTGTCCTTCTTCCTTGTTCCTTCTTGGAGGGTTTCTAGCAAGAAGAGCGACAGCAAAGAAGCAAAGAAGGCAGAAGAGCCCAAAGTAAGGAAGAAGCCGGGGCCTAAGCCAGGCTGGAAAAAAAAAATCAAATGTGAAAGGTAATAAGGAGGTGGCGGCGGCTGGGCAGCACCCCGGCCCTCGGCACGCTGGCTGACGGCAGGCCTCTGCTTTGCAGGGAGGAGCTGCCTACCATTTACAAGTGTCCTTACCAGGGATGCACGGCGGTCTACAGAGGGGCAGATGGCATGAAGGTGAGTTCAGGGTTTGCTCCTGTCCCAAACCTGTAGCTTTGAGTACTATAGAGCCGTTCCCATATGAGGAGAGGATCCCTGACAGATTTAATTCATCACCTCGCTCCGCAGGAGGCAGCAAGCCACTAAACAAAGCAGTCTGCTGAGAGTCCGAGGCCTTTTTCTGTGCTCCCAAACACAATGGGAACAGCTCTGGCTCTGTGTGCTCCTCCTGTTCTGGAAGTCTGCCGCTGGCTCGGCAGCAGCCCTTGGAACAAGCTCCGCTCTGTCCTGTTAAAGCCCCTGCTGCCAGGGGTAGATTTGGATACAAGTCCAGTTTTTCAGAGTGAAGCAGTGCTGACGTGTGGGCCTGCCAAGACGAGGGTCTCGTTTTTAGGGGGTTCCAAGCTTTTCACTGGGGAAGATGCAGCCAGTGGTTAGAAGCTCTGTCCTTTCTTTACAGAAACACATCAAAGAGCATCACGAGGAGGTTCGGGAGAGGCCCTGTCCTCATCCTGGCTGCAACAAGGTGTTCATGATTGACCGGTACCTACAGCGTCACGTGAAGCTCATTCATACAGGTGTGTCCCAGCAGGTGACGGGTGTTACAAACATTCATTGTGCAGGGTGTAGAATGGTCTGCCCTGCCTGTAAACCTGTAACAAGCCATCGCATAGGGGACAAATTCAGTCCCCAACAGTAAGCATGGGCAGCTGTGTGTAGGTATTTCATGTACTAAGAAATAAGCAGAATCGACGACTCTTTAAAAAAAATTGCAGAGGTACGCAATTATATCTGTGACGAATGTGGACAGACCTTTAAGCAACGCAAACACCTCTCGGTCCATCAGATGCGGCACTCAGGAGCAAAGCCCCTCCAGTAAGTGCACACTGACCATCCATTCGTAGCTAAGAAGAGCGATAGAAGGGGGAGTGAGGTTCTGCTGAACTTTCAGCTTTCACAGTCAGTGTCTTTAGCACAGAGTAATTCTGTGATACAGCCCTGCCTGCAGCTGGCAGTGTCCTGGCTGAATCACTTTAAATGTTCACTCACAATGCGTCTTCCAGCATGTCCCGTTGCTGAGCAAGTCTTACACCTCCTCCTATTCCTGTTGCCCTTGA